CCACTCTACAGGTTTTGGTTGAAATGAGACCATTTCCTGTAGTCATTTGTTTCTGGAATCCAAAGACTGGAAATGACAGACTGCCGGCTGGGAAGGCTTTGGAGACATGGCACCTGCTCCCCTTACTGGGCTGCTGTTCTTGTCTTTCCGACTCCACCACATGTTCTTCCAGAGTCCTTGGTGGCCGTTCCTCAGTTCTGCTCTTCACCTCCCTGCCTCCCACAGTCACCCTGACTCACTCTTGGGTTCTGGGCACTGACCTCCCTCCTCCTGACAAAGAAAATTATGTAACTGCAGTTAAGGGAGTGACTTCTGTTCAGGGATTCTTCAGCGCCTGTCAGCCGTGGTGATTCTGACCACACGAGTTGACGTTCACCAGGCAGTAACTTCTCTATACACCGAAGCCAAACGGGAGAATCTCTCAGCCCCTGTCGTGGCCCTTCTACCTTCTCTTGTAGCTCCTGGTTCGTGTTGTTCTTGGTTAATCTTTATACTCTAGTGCTCATCCCGGATCTTATAGATGACAGATTCTTTTAAGGAGACTTATATGAAAAGAAACATAAAAACATTTAAACTTCTGAATCTGAATGGACTTAATCACAAATTAGTTCTGCAACATCTAGAATACCTTAGTTGTAGAAAAGGTCAAAGTGACTGGAGTCAGTTACCTGGAGCCAAAAGGTTCTGGGGAGAGGTCAGGCTGTGGCTGAGGTGGGAGCCGAGGCCGGTAGGGGGTCAGGGGAGTCTGGTGGCCTGCGTTGGTGAGGACAGATGACCAGTGCGGAGGCGATGCGGGATGAAGCTGGAGAGAGGCACAGTGTATGGCTTGCTGCACGGATCGCAAGGGCAGGGCTGCAATACACTCAGCTCCGAGGAAGGGACGGGTCTCCATACCCCTTCCAAGGGCAACCCCTGCTGACCTAATGTCCAGCCTTAAAGGTGCCGTCATCCACCTCTGGTGCTGCCCACTGGTGATCCAACCTCTGCACGTGGGCGCGGGTTTGGAAGAATTAGCACAAACAGTGGCAGGAGCTTTACCTTTTCTGTGTCACTTGGCCAAGCTCTCCACTTGGCTTTTGATGGGGAGTGTGGGGAGGGGCAGTAAACGCACTGCAGAAGCAGGAGTAGGAAGGAAGGTAGAGCTGCAGCCCTGGTCAGAAAACGTGCTGTGCTGTACTTCCTAACTTACCACCAATTCATTTTTAGGTCTGCTTTTGTTGGCGCTTGGTAGATGTAAACCCCACAGCACACAAGGATCTGCTGATATATAGCAAACACCTCAAACCTTGCCTGCTACCTGAGTAGACAGTGAATATTTGTTAAATATAAAGTGAATGGTTTCTGAGTCACTGTGTCCAGATTGCTTCCTGTCCCACTGGTGTGAGTTTTAATCTGCTCCTAGGTTCCACCCTTTGCCTTCTCTCCAGACTGTACTGCTCTTCAGGGCAGGGTCCAACTGCTGTGCTGCTCAGTGCCTAGCGAGGAGCCAGTCCCAGTCGGTGCTCAGGAACAACATTAGATTAACAAGGCAGGGCCACGGTGGGGCTGGTTTCCGAAGGAGAAATCAGGTCTTGCTAAGAAGAGAGGGAGCAATGAGGCACAAAGGCAGAAGAAGGAAAGGCTGGATCAGCCCGTGACGAGCTGGCCGTGAGCCGGGAAGGCCAGGTCCACCTCTCCGCAGCGCAGTGCTTAGGACTTGTGCTTGAGTGGACGTCGAGGGGACTTCCGCATGGACAGAGCGGGAGGGGCAGCCTAGGTGAAGCCAGTTATGGCTCTTGCTAACTGAGAGACTTGAATACAAGCCCAGCAACTCCCAAAGCGTTGAAATAGACTCAAGTTTTATAATGTTTTGCACTGTTAGCGAGGACTTGTTCAATTTATGTGTTCCCAATAACTTTCAGTCACAGTAGGGTCATTTATATTCTTACATTAGCGCCTTGCCACTTGTATGCCTGAGAAGATGTAGCAAAATCCTTAGGGTCAACTCTGAGACTTTAGAAGAACTCTTACAAAGGAAAGACTAATTTTTAGGTCAAGAGGAAACAAGAATGTGCCACTTATTCTTAGGGACAGCGAAAATCGACAATAAGGCAGCAGCATAGTTAATCCACAGATGCAAATGCAATTTGAAGAAAATTAACATAGAAAATTTACAATTGTAATACTTTAAAGTCACAATTTTTTCTTACAGATTTGTGTACTAGTTATTAAAGTTTTAAGGAAAATCTATTTAAGCCATTTGTATCTTCATCTGTGTGAAATATTCTGTAACAGGTAAAGTAGTGCACTTACTTCCTATTAATAAATATTTCTGACTTCTTGTGCTTTCCATCCATATGGGAATAAAAACACCCTTATCATCAATTAGATTTGGCCATAGAGTTCTGTTAAACATTTGCACAAAACCAATCCTTTTCTCTTAAGCCCAGTTCTATATGAAAATGCTAACAAATGGTGAAGATTTTGTACAAGTGATGATTAATTGAAAATACAAGCTGAGCTATTGATTCTAATTTATATGTCTCAGCTGTGACAACTGTAGGAAAATAGTATAGAAATACAGGCAGTTTGACACTGAGGCAACTCCACTTTCCTGAGCTGGCATTCTGCTAACCAGCAGGGGAACTGCTGCTGCTTCTGGTTCACAAAAGCCAGGATGGCCTTGACCATGCCTGTCCGCCCCCAGAGCCCCTTGGCTCTGCTCCGGAAGATCTGTGCTCTGATGTCCTTCCTTAGTCCCCGCCCTCTCCAGCTGTGGCCCTCCCTCCCATCCAAGTACTAACCAGTCCTGACCCTGCTTAGCTTCCAAGCTGGATGGGAGCGGGCGTGTTCAGGGTGGCATGGCTGTAGCTTGGCGATTTGTGTTGGACTGTGAGGCCCCCTCTTTCCATCTCATCCAGGGGACTCTCGGAGCGGTCATGTGCCCTCAGTGCTCTGCAGGTGCTTGGCAGCACACACATGTCACGTGCTCATGCTTGCAGTGTGTACCATACATGTCTGTATATTCACACATATCAGCTTTTTATCGTGACTTTTATTAGACACATCTGGGAATGCTGGAAGTTCATGCTTAACCTTTCCAGAAGACGTGCCTGCTTCCGTCTCTGAAGCACCTGTTTGGTTACTTCTGAATGAGAGCAAGACAGCAATTCCTGAGGTTTTCTGGTAGCTTCTTCCACTGTAAGACATACAGCTTTCACAGCTGACCTACTACCTATCACCCCAAATTTTATATGCAAGAAATGGCTTCTATGTTTCTTCCAGTACAGAGCTACCATTTACAGCCACACATTCCATCCTAGTGAATTACTTTGAAGTTCCTTAGGTAGATCAGGCAGTAATATTTTCTGCAGTTCCTCTCTGAGCCTTAATCATTTTTAGAAGACTACCTGTCACCTGCGTCATTGTGTCCTGCGGTGTCTCTCTGCACACAGGGAGGCCGGATGGCACATGGCCATTGGCCCGCTCTTCTGGTGCTCTGACGTTGGCCTTCTCCTTGCCAAGCGGGCCTGCTTGCCCTCTCTGGAGCCCAGGCCAGTGTGGATGATGTCCAGCTGGCATGGAGGTGTGGCCCCTCACCTGCCCGCTGGGGTGAAGAGGTTGCATTCTGCTAACAGTGCTCAGCAGGAGACCTGAGGAAGTGGGGGGCCAGGAGAGCCCCCGAGTCCCACCTGGAGCTGTGGGTCATTCCCCCTGGCACTGGCACCTCATCTCTGACCTTGTATGCCCATGCCCTGCCTTCTTCTCCACTAGGAAGGACCAAGAGGCCACTGTCTGTGCTGTACAGGGCCTTGGCAGGGTTTTTGTTTGTTCATTTTATATTGGGATATACTTTGTATACTGTACAGTTCACCCACTTGAAATCTACATGTCAGAGGTTTTTAGTGCATTGATAAATTTGTACAACTGTCATCTCATGCCAATTATTGAATAGTGTTGTTTTCTCAAAAACAAATCCTACCAGTAGCTACCAGTTTTCTCCCATTGCATCCTCCAACCTGCCCATCCCTTCCTTTCCCAAGTACTGGGCAATCACTGATCTCTTCGTTTCTGTGGGTTTCCTCATTCTGGACTTCCCTGTGAGTGCGGTCATGTCCCCTGTGGCTTTCTGCTGTGACCAGCAGAGTGCTTTCAAGGTTCCTCTGTGTTGTAGCATATGTCAGTTCCTCTTCCTTTTATGGTGAAACAATGTCCCACCAAGTGGGTGGGCCAGCAGTGGTGAGCCTACGGCACACCTGTTATTTTTCTTTTAAGACAAAAGATGTTAATGTATGAGGTTTTTTCCCTAAACTAAACCTCAATATTCAGGTTTAATTGCAGTGTTGGTACTTTGCAATAAATAAGTGAGTTTTGGGTTGCAGTTTGGGCACCTGCCTCTAAAAGATTCACCATCCCTGAGGTAGACCGTGGTTTGTTGATGGACATTTGGGCTGCTTCCATCTTTTAGCTGTTATGGATAACGTTCCTATGAATGCCTCAGTAAAAGCTTCTGTGTGGACACGCTTGCATTTCTCTTGGGGACATACCGGAGTGGAATTCCTGGGTGATAAGGAAACTGTTGTTTGAGAAACCACCAGACTGTTTTCCAGAGCAGCTACACTATTTCACATTCCTACCTGTTGTGTCTGGTGGTCCTAATTTCCCCACATCTTCACCAACACTTGTTGATTTTTTTGAATTTAGTCTTCCTATAGAGTGTGAATTGATACAGATTTCAAAAGGATTTGAGAAAGATGTTTTTCTATTTCTAATATTTTTTAAATGTTACCTAAATGTCAGGCATTCCTCCTCCCACTGCCTATAAAAGTATGACTGCTGGGAGGTCCTGCTGTCACAACAGTAAAGGGGATTTCACTGCTTGTTAATCCACACATTTTCTGACTAGTGCCAATGTGGGAGACAGTTTTAAATGTGTGAGTTGAGTGGTGGAAGCAGGGCTGGTTGTTGGCTCCTGGGTGTCGGCTGTCCCTGGCGTGTCTGACCGTCCCTTTGCCTTTCAGGAGGGCTGGCGTTGGCCCAAGTGCTCTTCTTCTACGTGAAGTACTTGGTGCTCTTTGGCGTCCCAGCCCTGCTCATGCGCCTGGACGGACTCCACCCACCGCCTCTCCCTCGCTGCGTGAGCACCATGTTCAGTTTCACCGGGATGTGGAGGTCAGTTGCGTGCTTCGCGGAAGTCCTTCCAGGGTGTCCCGTGAGCCGGACCCTGGCCCGGCCAGCTTTCCAGAGCTTGGTTGCCATCTTTGCTCTGCCCCCACTCAAGCCGCATTTGGCTGTTCCGTTTCTTCATACAACTAAGAGGCTGGTTACCTGGGTCCTCTGGGCCTCCCCACGTTATCACCGAGCTAGGATGTTAGGTAGCGTGAGAGGCCAGATGGAAGAGTGGGGCCCAGTCGGCCCATGGGTGAGCGCCCAGAGGAAAGAGGGCGCGTGGGACGCGTGCAGGGAGAAGTGAGAACAGCTGAGATGCTGTGGTTTCCGATGAGTGAGGCGGAGGGAGGGAGGGTGGGAGCCAGGTGAGTCCTGTGTAAGGAATCGCCTGCGCCCGTGTCTGAGTGAATAAAGCCGAGGTCGCCAGTTGTTTGGGGCTGTGTGTCAGAGGGAGTGGAGCTGCCCTGGCCCCCAGGTTTTATCCTGTTCAGTGTCTCTTTACTTTTCATCCTCGTCACCCCGTGGTCAGGTTCGAGCTCCTACAGGTAAGATATAGTTTCTCGCCATGTCTGTGTGCCAATGTACAGAGAGCTGAGTGTGACATGCTGCGATGTATTGATTATTTTATTGCTTTCTGCTTTTCTTGAAAATGACATCTGTATGTGAGAGTTGGTTTAGAAAAACAGATTCGGGATTATAGCAAGTCCAGTGTTGCCATTTACTGGCTCTTAGCTCTGAGTCGTCTGACTAAATTACTCGGTTTTACTTTTATTTGTTCAATAGTAATAACAATAGTAATAATGACATTGGCCTTCAAGAACTGTTTTGGAGATTAAAATAATATTCATTTGGAACACCTGGCGCGTAGTGTGACTACAGATGTCAGCTGTTGCTTTTGTAGCAATCCTGTGCTCATTGCACGTGGATAGACAGGTGCTCTTTCTGCATTGTTCTTGTTCTTGATTGGTCCTATAAAATTATGTTTGGCCTGCAATCTTTGCTGTGGAAGGTCCCACAGCCCTGGGCCATGTCCGATGCTTTTTCCCGGGGCCTTGCTTGCTGCTGTGTTTTTCTTATCACTCCCAGTGTGGAAAGGTGACAGCTGTGCTTTGTCAATTGCACGCCGAATGCAGGGGCTTCAGGTGGGCACTGCTCTCCTTGGAAGGCAGTACCTGTGCATGTTCTGCCCTCCCGAAACCTTGTTTGGTTCTCCCTAGTCCTGGCCCTGCTTGGAATTGCCATTCTGCCTCATTCATGAGGCTTGTTCTGTCTTATGTTTCATCTCTGTATGGGAAGACCGCTACGAATACTGCCATTTTTAATGTTGCTATTCAGAAGGTGCATAGCACTCAGCACCCTGGTTTCCATGGTGACTTATTATAGATGCTGAGTTTATCTAAATCTCAGTGCATTTTATTTTTTATCTGGTTTGATTGAGGGGGTTAGAAATTTCATATTGCAAGACGTGAAGTAATTGTTTTGACTTGCTTTTAATTACTTCATTGGATACCAGGCTGCTCTGGCATAAAGGCAAGACTGGGGAGTGCTAACAAAGGGAGTCTCCTGCCAGGGTTACAGGTGGCTTTGGCTTGAAAGGTAAACCTGCCTGGAGCTCTGTTAACTTTTGATCTGCTCTTAAAAGTGACTTCCTGAATGAGTGGGCCGGGACCAGTGTGACTTGGGAACTTGTCACAGTGTCTGGTGTGAGCCTGGGGCCTCTGTCCCCGGTGTGAGTGCCTGAGCTAGGGAAGCATCGTCTCCTACGGGCCTTCTGCAGTGTGAGCCGTGGCTCCTGGCACACAGGCTGACTCCAGATGCCTGGCTCCTGGTCCATAACTGTCAGCCACTGGTCCTCGCAAGAGGCGGCTGGTTCAGTTGGGTGTGCTGCACACTCAGATGGAGCCTCAGTCCCACATAAACCACAGAGTAGAGAAAACACATCTGCCAAGACTTTCATCACTGTCTTGATGAGAACTAAAATAGTTTGTGGCCAGGCTGTTGAAACATTTCTCTGTCCCAATTAAAGTTTTAAGATAAATATGGGCAAGAGCATAATTATGAAAATTACTCTGGAGAGGAAGGTCTGAAGTGACCTTGGGAGCACTGTGGTTCTGAAAGGTATTTTGCATGTGATGAAGTACAGGCAGGTTCTTTCTGGAGAGTGACCTAGACTCCTAGATTAGCTGCTTCAGCGTGCAGGTGGATTTGCTCTCCATTTATTTTACATTTCTTGAGGGGCTTTCCAGTTTGCCAGTTATACTTAGAAACGCATGGGTCTTTGGCCAAAGTGACTTTCTATATTGAAGAAAGGAATTTAGGGAGGCGGTTAGCTGAGTTACGGTGAACAATAGAAGGGCCAGAAGTAGTTATTTTTTTAATTGAAAAAGGAACGAAAACTACTATAGCTTATCTTTTCTGTTACTAGCAGATACACCTTCATCCTTAAGAGGAAGTTTACCATGTTTCATGTTCAGTCCACGAGATTAACCCGCATTTTTAAAGAGAAAAGTTAAAGAAGGGTGACCAGGGTCAGGGTTACTCTGCCACAGTACATGCACACCCGTGTCTGTAGCAGCACAATTCATGAGAGGTAAATACAGGAATCAGCCCAGATGTTCATCAGCAGATGAGTGGGAAGAATTAAGATGTATTATGTACAGGTACAAATTCCCTAGGGTGAATGTGATCACTATGGCAAATATGTACTAATAAAACATTTAAACAGATGAATGGATAAAGAAAATGTGCTATTTATACACAATGAGGTACTACCTTGAGGCCATAGTATTAAGTGAAAAAGATCGGACTTACAGGCTTAAATACTGCATGGTTACTCTTACATAAGAAGTACTTGTACCAGCTCCACACGGGGAATGTATTCATCATGCAATGCAGACATGTACCAATAAAACTGAGAAAAATGGATGCGAGGTAAACATAAACGCAAATAAAATTGGGGGAAATGTATGTCACGAGAAAGTGAGCATGAATTTGTAATATTCGGTAGTAGCTAATGCCACGTTAGTATTTGTAGACTCTTTACTTGGCTGCGCTGCTGACAAGGAATGACTCCTCTTCCTGGACTGAGGTCTAAAAAGAATTTAGTCCTGACCAGATGGGAGAGGTTGATCCAGATTGTTCTGCTAGGCTGTGACAGCTCTTCGTGCAGTAACACAGCGGGAAGGGTGGGTGGAAAGTACAGGGAAGAGATTTGAAACAATCTTTAGAGGCTGTTTGATGGCTACCTGAATGTCTAGAAATCCCTTGCTGAATGAGTTTTAAACTGGCGATTAGAGATAAATTCTTAGCTTGGCATATTAAAACACCTTTTCTATCCCCGAACTGTGCTGGCTGACTAGACCCCCTTTCTGTTCATTAGCACTGAGAGAAGACCTGGAGACAGCAGCCTGCCCTGCCACAGGACTCTGCTCTCTACACCAGAGAGCAAGCAAAACTGGCCAGCTGCACGATGCTTCATATGGGCCACGAGAAGCTGCCATTCACCCAGATGGCCCAAATTGAGAAGTTAGAGCCTGGTGCGTGTGTGTGTGTGTGTGTGTGTGTGTGTGTGTGCGCGCGTGTGTGCGTGTGTGTGTGTGTCTCAGTGTCTCGGCACTCCTATTTCATTCTAGAATCCTGTTGAGAAATTTATGGACATAACAAGACCCTAAGAAGTATTCCCACTGCCATGATTTTTCTGGGGTTGTAAAAAATAAGAAATTGAAAATTTTCTGCTTGATTTTTAGGTTTCATGTTTTAATGTTGATGAGCTGAGATCTGTAAGGAACATCTTTTGATGGGAAATCTGATTGTGTACCCCTGAATTGATTTCTAGCTGTGGGAGCAGTGTGCAGAGCGGTAGAGTTTCCCCACAGTGGTTGGTGAGTTATGGGTCAATTTCAGTTATCTCATCATCTTGCCCAGCCTGCCCTCTGCGTTTCTTGAATTATGGTGCTGTCAAGTTGCCACAGGCAAACACATGCATCCCTGCTTATCCCAGAAGTATCTGGCTCTGTCAGTGGCTGCGATACATTACTACAGGGGGGGCTGAGGAAGGAGAGGGGCCTGTGCCCTTTCTCTGTTAGGCACTGACTGCATAGGCTGGAGGTCAAGGGGTCCTTGGTAGAGTTGGCCTAAGCATGTGGTAGACGATAAAACTGGTTCTGCTGCTGGCTTTGCATCTCTTGTGCCTTCCAGTCATGTCTATGCTGCAGTTGCCGGCAGCATGGCTGGCATAGGGCTTGCTGCTGGCCCTGGGGGGACGAAGAGGGGCAGGTGAACATAAGGAAAGGCGGAGTGGGGGCTGTCGGTGAGCTCGCGTTTCCAGGGCAGCCTAGTGTGGCTTTGGGCAGGTCAGTGAGGGCCCCTGGGCTTATCTCTGCATCTCCCCAGGAGTGACTGAAAACCTAACAAAGCCAGAAGTGGCTCAGCAGTCCAGCTGTTGATGGGCCAGGCTGAGGAGCAGCGAGCCTGGTGGGGCCTGGATGAGGAAAGTCCCGCCACAGCCAGAGCTGTGACTCGGAGAGAGACTGTCTAGGGCAGGGCCTTGGTTGGCCACTCTCCCTCATCTGTGGTGTGAGAGAGGAGGAGCTGAATCTGCGCTTCCTTCCCTTGCCCCATTCCATGTGCCCCAGCCTTGTGAAAGGGGGTGATCACCCACCCCAAAGCCGTGTCATCAAGTGAGCTATTAACTTTCTTATAGCTCAGGTTCTGGAGCAGTGAGATGGGGCCAACCACAGTGCTCACCTCGCTGCCCCATGGTGAGGTGAGGTCAATCCGTGGACTGCAGCACCAGCATGTTGGCTAACAGCCACGTTACAGATAGGAGAGCAAAATGTACACCATTTCTTTGTGTTTCAGTTTCCCAGCAAAGGCCGAAGGGGAGGTGGTGGGGGCGGTGACAATGTGTCGGAGACTGGCTTCAGAACAGAAGTGTGGGTCCTGGAATCTGCCCCAGTGCCTCTTCCTCCCGTGTGCAGAGCTCTGTAATGAACATGGCTGTG